AGGCGAGATTCTCGTTGTTCCAGGGTTTCAGCGTCTCTGGAGGTTGAAGCTCTCACACGATTTTGTTGTAGGCGAGATTCTCGTTGTTCCAGGGTTTCAGCGTCTCTAGAGGTTGAAGCTCTCACACGATTTTGCTGGAGGCGAGATTCCCGCTGGTTTTCCGTTTCCACATTTCTCGAGCTTGTCTCTCTGTTTCGATTTTGTTGAAGTCGGACATTTCGTTGATTTTCCGTTTCCGCCGCTCTGTATTCATTCGACTTTTTTGTTTTGGGGTTTTTTCTTCCAATTGATGCTTTCTTTGGTGGCATGATTTTATTTTTTTGTGAATGTAAATAATAATACTCTGTATGTTGAACTGATCTCAGATGAAAAAGAATTCACTATCGTTTGCGCAGTGTCTACACTTGCTATGAGCGAATGTATTAGCTATGCGACCTTATATTTATGTAACTCAGGCAAACAATATAAATATGTCCCCTGAAGGTACCTTCCACTTAAAAAGATTAAAAATCCTTATATTTTATCTATGCTAAAACGTGTGCAAACAGCAGAAGATATTCTCTGCAGGTACTTTTCCTGCAATAAATTTAAAAAAAAATCGGTAGACTTTCGCAACCTCTTATTTATCTGAATTAGTGTATACAGAAAAATTTCTTTGTACGTAGGTATTTTCTTCAAGAATGTTGTGGAAAAATCCCAAGATTTATGAAGCCATTGTTTAGGTAAACTTGGGAAACAAAATATACTCTTGTAAACAATATTTAACTACCTTCAAACGAATGCTATAATTCTGCAGGTACTTTCCTCCCAAATAATTTGAAATTTTTAAACCCTTTATTTATGTGAACTTAGGTAACAAAGTGTTTTCTATGTAGGTATTCTCTTCATGAATGTTGTGGAAAAATACCAAAATTTATACACCTAAATTTAGGAAAATTATGCAAGCAAAATCTCGTACGCGCATTAGGAAAAAATATTACAAGATTTTTTATTGCAAATTTTATTATATTTTTTTAAGCCTTATTCAATAAGAAACAAAAGTTATGCATTAATATTGAGTACTTTTTTGGTTTTTAACTATTAAACAAATTCCGTTTTTAAATTGCAACCTGGTGAAAATTTACACAACTCTGGCATTAACATACATACATATGTTCACATATACCCAACAAGCAAAATAAACTTAAAGAAAGTTTTTTTTAAGTTTTCAATTATAAACATTAAGCTTACAAAACGTTGCTTTCTTGTTTATAAAACGCTTGAAAGTAAGCGTAATATAATCGAAAAGGAACATTGGTTATAAGCGTTGAAATATAAACTTGTAATAAATGTTCAAAAGAAAGATTTTTATAAGCGTAAAAGTGTAAACTTATAATAAAGGTTCAAAAAAAAGTTTTTTATAAGCGTATGAATATAAACTTACTAAACATTTTCAAAAGAAAGCTTTTCATAAACATTTTTATAACCCTTTATTTAACCCATTAAGGACAGAACGCTTAAAATTTACGTAAAATGTTGAAATTTGTAGCACATACTAATTTTGAGCTCCTAAATGAAAATTGGAAAAAAAAAATCCAAATGTTCACAGGGGGCGTGGAACGCGCCAAGACTACCACAATAGTGTCTGGATATTGCTCGACGAAAATCTATTTGGGTCATACCTGAACCGCTTTTCCGATGCATAATCCAAGCATTTTGAATTGAAACGTCTATAAGCCACGTAAATATAGACCACCACCATTTTTTCCCCCTAGCGGCAATTCTGTAAGCATTTACGTTCTGATCCATTCGATCTGTACCTCCCATTGAAGCATTGTACATGGCTACCGCACATGGCCGGGGAACGTCGATTTTTCGGCGGTGTTCTCGAGAATATCGACCGACCTTGGACACAGGATTTTTTCCGTAAATCGTTGAAGCTACAGTAACAACAGAGTTGTCAGTCCATTTGGTTATGAATATTTCTGCACCGTCCAGTTTTATGCTCTCTATGTGTCCACGTTGTTTCTTTTTGAGAGCCTTTTTATCAGGCAAAGGGCAAGACCTAGGAATCATGATTTCTCGCATTGTTCCAGTGCCATGGTAGCCCCGCTCTTTCAAACCGAGCAGAACAGAAACTGAAGTGAACAAGTTATCAAAATATATGCAATATGCTAGTTGCCTTTTATCGTCATCTAGATCATCAAGCATGGAAAACAATGGCGCAGGGTTCTTTCCGTATACTTTTGGATACTCTTCTGGTATACGTGGATTAATGCCTTGGTACATCTCAAAATTTACAAGGTATCCTTGGGGCGTATTGAGGCACCACATTTTGTATCCAAAACGCAACGGTTTCCCCCTAATAAACTGCTTACAACCGTGTCGACCGTAATACTCCACCATAGACTCATCGTAAGATAGATCTTGTTCAGGATGAAAATGTGTGAGGCATTGCTTTTTCACTGCATCAGTAATTGGACGGATTTTCCAAATTTTGTCCTCCCGATCTTCCAAGCTGTTATCTTTGAAGTGCATATAACGAAAAATTATCTCGAACCTATTACGTCGCATGCTTTCGCTAACCATGGAGCACAGCATATCTGAATCTTCGCACCAGTAGTCTCTTTTTTTTGGTCGAGATGTGTACCCAGTGACAATCATTATACCAATAAACACCTTCATCTCATTTATGGTAATGTTGGGATTTTGACCTTCTACTTGAACTGCGTAAGCATTGGATTCATCACATAATATCTGTAGGACCTCATCATGAATAAATTTTTCAAAT